TCATTTGGTACAATTCTTAACTATTCGTACGAGACTCAGTTTCCTCGTATTGTTAAGTTTTATTATGTCAAAAATGAAAAATTCGGTTTTATAAAATGTCATTTGTTTTCCATCCAAAAATCACAGGCGAGCTCGTTTTAAGGCTGAATTGCGTGCCATGAACTGGATCATTCCTTGGGAGGCTCTGGACCCTTCTAGCAACCGAGGTCGCCATCACCGCCGAACTTCCATCGGCTACGTCAATCAAAAATCGGCCGCTGTTAACCGTGGCAACGTCGTAACCCCTTCCGCTGTCAATGCGGATACCAACGCTGCGACCAACACTCCTGGCGACAAAGGTGTGGTGTTTGAAGTGGACACTCCAACAGCCACTTCGCCAGAACGTCAATTCCTTCTCGCAGCAGACGACGAAGAGGAACTGGATCCAGACATCGAAAAAGGCCCGATTGGGGACAACCCATCAGCTTCAGTCGATGCTACTGCACATCCTCCTCTTCCACCCTCATCTCAAAGTTCCAAAGTAACTTTCGGTTCCCCTACTGCGCTGCAACTGAAACAGCAACAGCAGCAACCGAAGAAGAGATCCTCCCATGGTAGTGGAATGCGCACTTTGTTCAAGGTGGGTACTGCAGAGTCACATTCATCACCCCCGACTCCACAGACGATGGAGGACTCATGGGCTGGTGGCAACAGTGGTGGGATGGGGAACTGGTGGCATCGACAGCAACGCTGGTCAAGAAAGAGTGAGGTGCTCAGCCAGGAGGACCCGAATTCGGGTACTTCTGGTGGTGGCGGTGCAAGTGTTGGGTGGATGACGTGGTTGGGTGGAAGCGGAGTAGCTACTCACAAGAAGAGTGCTCATGAATTTCCGTCGATGGGTGAGAAACGACGACGGAAGGTTAGCTCAAAACGTCTACCACACTCAAAGCCAAGGCGGAAGAAGTCGTCGTTTGCGTGGGATGGTGGATTCATGAATAACAAGTCCATGGTAGGAGCTTGATGGCACGCCATTATCCTAGTTTTATGAAGCTCAGAAGCACACATTTGATCCTTTCAAAGTTTTCCTACTTCAGCCATGCTTCTTAAGTTGGTGTTGTAACCTTTTATGAAGCAGCATTACTGTCCAAACATGGACGTTACCATTGATGATGGGAAATGTCTGTTCCTTTTTATTCTCAGTTCAAACGATAAATTTCTACATTGAACGCAGAACTTCATAGGCTCAAAGGCAAAGTTTATCATCGTTCAGG